CCTGACATTTGGTTAGAAATTGTAACTTTCCCCAATGTGTTGACATCGATTTTCTCTTCTTCCATCCTCATGGCATCCCTACAAGGTAGGTGGGACCAGGATGCATATTTCTATTGTTCTTTGCCAGCAAGTAATTGGCAGAGAACACACATTCTCCTTGAGGCAACCCTCAGGGATTCAACAATAAATTTTCTGTGGTCTGAGAGGGCTGATAAGGGTCATGTTAACTGTCTATTCTTGTAGGTTCTCAGTGCCAGGTCCCTATATTAAGCCAGGTCAACAGAAAACAACTTACCAGAGCCATAATACCTTAGCTTTCTGGGGTGGGGGAAAGACCCTTAAGGGCTTAAGATTTTGACATTTTACAGCCTTTTGTTTATTTTTGAAGGTGAAGAAAAAATATTTCTATTTGAAGATTGTGTCTATATTTTTTATAAAACCACATTATCCATTATAATAAAAATATCTATTATACAGGATTCACATGATAAATTCCTCCTGGAATTCAGTGGCAGGAAAAAGAAATCTCTCTAGGCAGATGAACTCAAAGGCACTTTTGTTTTGTTTTGTTTTGTTTTTACTTGTTAGAGAACCATGCAACTCAATTTTGTTGTTTTCTTCCCTTTTTGCTTTAACTGCCAAGAAAGAGTGAGATTTCGTGGGCAAATACAGTGATTTATCATGGAGCTGTCTGAAGCTTCTAGTTATGTTTCTTATAACTTTTTCTAGTTTGGGGTGTGAATTGATCTGTTTTCATGTTTTCTTAACACTTGAAAACCACTTACATCTGTTTTAGGAAGGTGTGTCAAGGAATCACAGAACCAAAAACTCTCACAGTGGGAATGCAACTTGAAATATCATTTATCCCAACTCCCATACAATGCTCAAAATATCATCTACTCACTTCTCATTACATGATCATTTAATTTCTGTTTGAATATCCCTAATGACAGGGAATTCACTCTCTCTGAGGCTCTAACATTCATTTTCAGATAGCTCTGACTACTAGAAAGTTCTGCCTTATGTTGATTTTATGTCCCCAGTGTCCATCATTTGATCCAGATTCTATCTTCCGAAGCAGCCTAAAACCAAATAAAATCCTGTTCTCCATGGTATCCCTTCATATCTATTAAGAGAGCTATCATTCATGTCCCTCCTTTGTCTCTTAGTGTCCATTTCTCTTAGCTAAGTATTACAATTCATAAAATTGACTACCCTCAATGACACAAATAAAAACCATAGTAAACAATAACTAGATTCTTTTCAATGCACAAATGAGGAATGTTTTCACTATCAAAGGTTAGTGGTCCTCAAGAAAAAAATGTTAACCAACTATGACATACTAAAAATGTGATTTAATTTAGCTCTTTAGTATTTTATGAAGAAAATATAAAAACAGTCTACCACCTTTTAGATAAAGAGCAAGGTGTCTAACCTCTAATAAAGACAAGAAATACAAAATATACTTTGTTTTTAAATAATACCTATGAAGTTACATATATATGTATGTGTGTGTGTGCGTGTGTATATATATATACATATACATATATATATACATATATATCTTTCTCCACAGGTGGTGAGAGAGAGGGTGATGGTAGATAGAGAGATGGATGGGAACACAAGAAAAAATTAGATAAAAAAAGGACGAGTGAAAGTGCACAGAAAAAAAGATACATAGAAAGACACAGAAATATTCATTTATTTATTTAACATCTATTTATTGAGTGCCTGTTATATGTATCAAGCACTGTGCAGAGTACAAAGATGAATTAAACATAGTTCCTGCCTTCAAGAAGCTTGTAACATTTTTGGAAATCTAGGTTAAATATAGTCAGGACAAGAAGACAAGTATACAAACAACTGTAAAATAAGCTAATGTTACATAACCTTTAAAGAAGTATAGGTAGGAATTCCGAAATGGAGACATATAATTATAGTGAACAAGGAAGACTTTTGGTGGGAAGGGATATTTGACTAGACTTTTAAGGATGGGTAGAATTTACACATGAGGTGGTAGGAGACACAGAAGGAATTTTAGGTAGAAGAAACAGCATGAATAACGGCATGGAATCAGAAAATATCAAGGAAAAGAGCTAATAATAGATTTTGACTAGAGAATAAACTGCAAGAAGAAGGGTAGAGAAAGCTAGGTTGGAAACCAACTAAGGAATTTACAAAACTAGAGGAACATTAGAGTTTTTGGAGCAGGAAAATTACAAGAGGTGAACTGTGATCCCAGAAAAATACAGTTAAACACAGAAAAGATAAGCATACAGAAGGAAAAGAATTAGTTCTCTGGATTAACATAATCATCTTACAATATACTTCTGGAATACTGTCACTAAAAACCATTAAAATAGTGTTATACTTTCAAATTATAGGCATAAGTGGGGATATTTTGTATTAATGTTTGTCGTGTGGGGTCATTGACTAAGTCAACCCAAATCTGACCAATGAGGCAGGTTCTGCAGTCTCACAACTATCCAGAAAACATTAATCTGACCCTATATTCCTCCTGGACCAAGGGATGCCCCACAAAACAAGCTGGACTTATTTTTAAACCACATCAAAGATGACCCAATGAAGTTAAAACACTGCCACTAATAGTGAGCCAAAGTGAATATATAGATTAATGGTCACCTCTACCTCTAGTGCCTTTTTGAAAGAGATTCACTATTGCTTGGACTACAGCAAATCCAAACTAGCTCCATCAGCTAGTCCCCAAGAGGGCTCATTCGTATTACCAATGCTACTTGAACAATTGCTGTTCCTATGATCTCTCATTCCAGGATGCCATGGTCATGAGAAGTTCACCTATGTCTATTTCCCATGATGAGCTCAATCACCCCTGAAGTAAAGTCCTTCTTTGGCTAGTCTATACGCAGTAGATACACAACTGTGCCCACAACTCAGGGAATCTCCTGGCTCTGGAAGAGAAAGGTGGTGTCGACAAGTAGTAATCAGATTCAGTTCTCATCTTGCTTTAAAGTTCACATGTTTGGTTCTCCCCTGACTTCCCTCACTATATATAGGAGCTACCATTTGGATACTGCACACATTGAATATATTTTTGGTGTCCTCCAAAGTCAGGCATCTCCTCATGTATTTCTGAGACTTTAGTTCCATAGGACTTGGGTTCTGTGCTAAAAGCTACAAATGAATCCACAGAGCCAGGCAGAATTGGAGGTTTATTCTCCATCCACTTGGGTCAGATCATTTTAGATAGGGACATATATGGCTATGGATGAGATCCTGTCTGCATAGTAAAGCTGATTTAGTGATAAGGAATCTGCTGCCTTCTTTCTGTACTCTCTTTCAGGATTGTGATGTCAGAAGCCACCTAGCTCAAAACACCCCAAACCAGAGTTTTCCCGCCAAGCTCACACTTGTATATACACAGTTAGGGATCTTACCTCCAGAATGTCTAAGAAGTATTCCTAAGGGTCAGAGATTTTTCTTAATAATTCATATTTATTTTTGACTTGGTAAAGCAATTTCTTATATATTAACTACATGGTAACTTTAAAAGGAAAACTTCTCCTCTCAGAATCTTCATATTCTCCTTCATACTATAACAAGGTTGATAGTTTCCAAAGGCCCTGCCAGCTATATGATTCTATGTGTATATTCATTTGGTTGGAATTAGTCACTTTTGAAAAATCTTTAGTGGCATCTAGAGCCACTCTAATTTGTAGTGAGCCAAAGTTAATGTATAGATTAACAGTCACTTCTGCTTCTCTCTTTGAAAGTGATTCATTATCGCTTGGCCTACAGCAAATCCAAACTATAAAATAAGTAAGATTGCAGGGGTTTTACAAACCACTCCAGGAGAACCACAAAAACACACAAATAACAGACATGAAATGTCTTATAAAAGATAACTTGTGTTCATGTCTATGGTCTACTCATCAATTATCTTGGCTGAGAAGAAGGCATGGACCACAGAAGAGGTAAAAGAGAATTTTATTGCACAGACTCCACTATTTTAATGGGCTATAATTAACCAGTCAGATGGGAAATGCATTGATTAGGTCCACCAGCTTTGGCTGGAAAATAGGTTAAAGTAAAATGATCAATCCCCTGTGGCCTTTTGGCTAATTAATGTTTACTTGATTCAATTGAGTGTTTAAGTTACAATCAATTATTTGATGTCACATAGAGGTGACCACCCAGTGCATGAAGTGTTACTATTTGGCTGTTTGCCACCTTCTAATCCTTGCAAGTTGATTCTAGTTGGATTAAGGACAAGAATGTGATTAAATGAGTTGTTTGGTAATAAAGTTGTTTATACTATGTCTAAGACAAGGTAGGAAAAATGAAATTCCTTGCAACAATACTTCTCGTTAGAGTAGTTTTATGTAGTAAACCAAGTTATGGCCCTCTGGTGAAGTAGATAGCCATCTGCTATCCTTCTTCTTTACCATGCCAAGTGCAAGAAAGAACAACTGGATCACTGAAAGCTGCCCAAAATGTAAACAGGTTCACCCTCTACCATCAAAAATATGAACAATACTGCCAACAATAAAAATAAAAGCAAAGTGGGTTAATTTGAAAATAAGCTGAGTTCAGGTATTCTTTGGCTGGGTAGATGCTATAATAATATGCAATACTCTATGAAGTGAAGCCAAATAGGGAAGATAGAATAAAAGATCTGAAGGAATTTTTAACAGTCCTAACTTCCTGTGTGCCTTTCTGTGTTTTTCTAAATTTTCTACAATGAACATATATTGCTGTTGAGATCTGTAAGGGGGGAAAAAACTCTAAAGAAAAGGACTTATGTAATTCCCCATGGGATGAACATTTGGTTAAGTTATGTTGTAAAGTACAGTAAAATCTCAAATAAGCAAAACCTAACTTGCAGTTCATTCACATTTGCTTTCTTTTTCCAATAATCTATTTTTAAAAGATAAATCACAAGAAAGCAAGCAAATATGAAGGATGTGATAAGACAAATTTAAATTTGTTTGAAAACTTTAAGTTGTTTTCTAAATATTTTATTTTATACAAGGAATATAGGATAATTAGGAAAACAACTGTGAAAAAATTTTTGCTCCCTCTTAATGACCAACCCAAGCCAGTGTGCTAGTAGCAACAGGCAAATAGAGAAATAATCAGTTGTATGTGAGAATCAGGTTGTACCTCACTAAATAAATCAAATAGTACATGAGAGTAGGGAATGGTTTTTCTTCTGACCAAATAATTAAAACACTAAGAAAAATTGAAGAAAATTTAGTTTTGGTCAATGCCGAAGGCCTTAATGAAAAAGAATCTAAAGATAGATGGAATGGTTTTACAAAGGGCCTCATGATAAAATCAAGCAAAGGAAGATGTGATCATGAACAAGACAGAATTAGTAAGCTAGACAAGATAAACTTCGTTGGCATACTGGACTAGATAAATACTAGAGAGGGAAATAGGGGATAGGATCAGATATGGAGTTAGGAATCATTCTCAGTGGGTTCTGTTGCTTAATAAAAGGTTTTGGCCAGGCAGTGTTCATTTTTCAGGCCCACCGTGGAGCTATAGCTCCTAGGACTAAAGAACTGAACTGTGTTTGGGAGAATACAAATTCATGGAGGCTCTGGAGCTGTAGCCCCACTCCCACTCCCTTGCCTTCAATTCTCCTTCCATATTTATACTGCAGGACAGTGTTATCATCTCTGGAAGAAGTGAAGGCCTATTTCTTTGAAACTTTCCCTAGGGTCTTGCCTCTCTCTAGAAGTTAGGTCTTAAAAGCTCAGCTTTTGACTGAGACCTTGATAAAAAATAGAGTATGATATTTTATATCTCCTTCTCTGACATGTGTGGAAAAAGGAATTAGAAACTCAGCTCAAGGAAGTTGAAAGGCAACTTAAACCTTTTCTGCATCCTCTTGAACAGCTTTGGCATAGTAAATAGACCACCTGAGGCTGGGAGAAGTTGGATTCTGTTAAAAGATAAGTATTCCAAGGGGCTTTGGCTGAAGGTTGAAGGAAAACTGCTGAGAAGAGCTTTTGACTGTAAGCTCAGATTCAGGGTGAGTTGATAGTGGAAAAATTAAATATTCGTGAGAAAGGTATCAAATTATACATTAAGCATTTATTTCTTTTAAAAAGGTTTTGAGAAAAAGAATTAACTGCTTTACTGGCTGATATGTTTGCGTTCAGCTGTTTTAATAAAGAGGTTTTTTTATATATAATAAATAAGAGGAAAAGCTTGCTTAACTATTTTAAACATGCCTGTGACTTAAGCCTTATTGCTTTGGTCCACGTGACTGTGGCAAGCCACTGCCAATAACCCCTTGAAAGTGGAACCTGGAAAACTAAAAGCATAAAGTAAAAACAAATGTTCAAAGGAATTTATTTTAGAAGGGGTAGAGGGTTGAAAGTCAGAGTGGGCAGGAAAAGGAAGGGAAAGTACAAAACTTTAAGGGAATCACTCAATTCTATGATTTTTATGTATTTTGCCCAGACAATATCTCTTAACATTTATTCTGTCATGTTCAGAATACTACCGTGAGTCCCAGTGAAATACTCATCTAGCAGGGACAATCCAATTATGTTGCCTAACTTAGGAAAAGAGACCATGACAGTTTTGGAAAGATTTTGAAAAACGAGCAGTAAGAAAACAAAGAAACTTCTTAGCCTTCAGTTACCTAAACAACACAATTAACCAGGCTCTTCTCCTTCCTTCTTCCTTATGCGTTCCAGCCAGCTGAGGTCACAGTAGACTGGGATTCAGATGTAACTTTGCTGGAAGATTTTTTTTCCTGGCACTAATCTCATAGTATATGAGTTATAAATTATGTTCATTAAATACTTCCTAGAGATTCAAACGAAATAAAAAAGAAAACATAGTGCCTCCTACTTTTTTTCTTGAAAATAGAGAGCTTCGCATCTTAATCCGACTTGGGCTTGCTATTTTGGAATGACTAAACTTGGAGGTGGCTCTCTACTCTTCCTTCAGGTTCACATCTATTGCAGTTTACATTCATACGGCCTTGCTGGTGATAGCTGGGTACTGAGCAAAACTTTTGAAAGTTACTTCCCAGCGTCCTGCTCACACCAGAATTAGGTCGTCCTCAGAGGTGTAGTCATTCTCAATTACAATTTCTTGCCCAGGCAGAACAATTTATTGAACTGGAGTGAGCTTTTCCATTGCCTCACCAAAAGAAGATTCAAATCTTGGAGCCCTTTGCTCCTGGGAGGGAGAAAGAGAAAACAGTAAGCATACCTTATATATCCTAGGCCTTTCACAGGGTTTCAATATGAATGATTCCAAACCCCTCACCACTACTGTATTCCATAAACAGCTTGCAAATTGCTAAACTTTCCTGGATTGTTAAACAAATAAACATTATTACATGTCAGGTCTGCATAATTAAACATTGCTATTTACAAGGGTTTTACAAATTCAACAAAAGAGAGGGCATGTTAATATACAGGTGGTCTTCAACTTACTAATGAGGCATGATCTACACATTTGTAAGTTGATGATTTGGAACTTGGAATGCCTTCTTCCGTAGTAACAGTGCTATATGTGTGGTGGTCAGGTTTCTGGCTAGTCCACAAAGGCTGATTTAACACACATGGAGCAGAGTAATATCAAAGCTCTTGTGGGGATCCTGGGTCCTGACAGCAGAAGGAAAATGTACTTTGTTTCTGTTCTTTGAGTCCAATAAAGACTCAAAATATTTAAAAGACGTGGAATGTAAGCTAACTTTTCCACCTTCATACTTGTTTGCACCCTTCTCCTGTTTCCCAGGGATCCACTGCTTTTGTGTTTTCCCAAGCCTTCCACTGTTACCCTCCATTCTTCAAAACAGTGAACTTCCCCATTTCTCCTTGTACTAATCAAAATGAAACTGCCAAGCCCTCCTGAACAGCTAGCTCAGTTCACCTTCATTATGATAGGGGTGATTGCTTCTCACCCTCAAAAAAGCACATCTATGATTAAAAAAGGGGCTTGTCAGCCCAAAATTAACCCCAGTTGGTGAAATTTTATGGAAAGCAACCAGATGATACAAAAATCAGGCTTGAGAAGCAGTGGATATTTGGGGACACAAGATAAGAGTTACCAAGTGAAGAGAAGGGCCCTGCTTGAGAGGCAGCCCCCTGTAACCACTTCACCAAAGCTGTGACCCTGTATGCTCCCATTCTTCCTCCCTATCTGACCACACAGGGCTCTCTTAAATGTTTCAAGTTTCTCTCACGATGGTGGCAGAAGGTCAGTGGCATTCATAGGTATCATATGCCTTTTGTAAGTTGCATCTATCCCAGTAAGTGTCAGCCTATAAATTCAGAGAAAGTTGGAAACATTCTGGAATAGGTGGTTGTGGCAAGTAACAGCAACACAGAAGTGTTTGGATTTAGGACAAGCCTTGTGAAGTTTGTCAGGGGTGCCTTTCTTGGGGATTTTTGTGATTTATATAGGCCACCAAGGCCATGTGGTCAATTAACATGCTGATTGAAGCACATGTGTTAACAAGGCCAGGACCAGAGGTAGAATCCTCTCTTGAGCCAGTGGCTTCAATCTGCTCCATATATCTACAGTACACAGAAGCTGGCCCTCTGTCAAGAAGGTCCAGATTAGTGAATTTACAAATGACCTAAGCAACATTCATCTGCATGTCAGGAAAGCACTACTAAGCACATAGCCAATGATGGTAAGTCAGTTGCAGTCTTTTCTGCTGCAATCTCCAACACATTCTTAGGAATGAATGGGTTCTTGTACAGTACCTACAATGTCACACTACCCTTCCAAAGGGATAAATCCTTCAAGAGCTTCCAACCACTTTCCTTTCCTGCAGACAGAGAGAGAGAGAGAGAGAGAGAGAGAAAGAGAGAGAGAGAGAGAGAGAGAGAGGCAGGCTAAAGAGTATGTGTCTGGATCTGTGTGTGTTTCTGTGTCAAAGGTTGTTCCTGTGTTTCCCTACTCACAGGAAAGAATGTTTCTGGAAACTGGAAGACTGCAGAACAAACCCTGGCCCTAGGTGTCAGGGAATCAGAGGGTGATGCAGGAGGCTGCAGAAGAGCCACATACTTAATACAGAAGCCTTTTTGATGCATAAATGTTTATGACTAGTTCAGCCTACCTGTGATTGTTGCAGAAATGAAAATGCAATAGGTTTCCTTAGGACAGAAACAGTCACAAAGAATCGACAAAGTCATCAGAGGCCAGTAGGAGAATATGAACGGATGTGGATGCCTTTGGTAGTTGCTGCTTGAAATGTGATTATTCTGGGACATGTTAGAGAACAAGGGAGCAGGAGTATGTGGAGATGCCTTAATGTTTACCTTAGAATCTTGTGATTTCCAAGGAGATGTGGGGGGAGCAAAGTGATTCCAGGTCAAAGTTTCCATTGAAGAGAGAATAAGAAAGCAATATTTTAAAAAAGAAAAAAAAAGCAAGCAAAATAAAGAAGAGATACTGAGAAGAGCCCAAGAACACAATGAATTCCTCAGAGATAAATATGGCTAAATATGTGGACAATTTAGCCATATTCTTGACAATTAGATGGTTGCTGCTGCTTCAGATTTATACTATCCTAGGAGTGGAGGAAGGATGGGAGAAATTGTCCCGAATACAAACCAGGCAGTCAAAGAGTAGCCACTCTTATTTTGGTTGGCAAGGCCAACCTTGAAAGGGATCAGACAGTGCCTCTGGAGGAAATGACATAAACATCCTCTCCAAGACGGTCTTGCCAAAAGATCCCAGGGATAGCAGGTGGTCATATTCCTATTGCCTAGACAGATGTAAGTTTCTAAAGACCTGATGTGGCTCACCATGTGGCCCAGGTGCTCATCAATAAAAGAGACAGGTGTACCTGCCTGATAACTAGAGAGCAAGGCCAGACTTGTTAACATTCAAATACAGGTATGTTATCAGGGCAAGAGGCAAGGGTCTCACTCAGGCCAGGGCAGACAATTTCCCTCAGGTGCAGCTCACTCTGCAGCAGGCCTCCATACAACAAGGTTTTCATCCATTTTAGTAGAGCTTGGAAATTCTCCAGCTCCATCACACTATGCCAACAGAGTGTAGGCTGACACTGGCACGCATGCCAAAGGAAGCCCCAGATTTGAAAATTTGGCAAGCTGCTGTGCTCTGTTTTCCTCCTGGCCATTACCTTATGGCTTGTTTCTCACCAACTGTCTTTCTGCTTTTCTTCTTTGGAAGGCTGCAATCTCCACTGGTTGCAGGCCATGGCCCACTTGCCTGTAGGGCAGGGGAGACATCAAAATAGGTAGTGAAGAAAGTGTGGCAGAGTATGGCATAGAAAGACTCTAGTTAAATGTGAACTCCACTTACCCATCTTTGCCCACTGGTGGGGGCACAGGAAGGGGCTTTGTGAAGCCTTTTTTCCCAATCAGCCAGAATGTCTCCTCTGTGCCTTTGCCCTTATTATAGAATACATGAAAAATCTTAAGCATGCTATAATCGATTTTCCAAAAGGATGCAAGCATTCAGGTTGGCTCAGAAATTGCCTCACCACACTCTGGGGTCTTCCTCTCTACGGGGCTATACCAGAATAGCCAAATGAAAAGTGAACACCATATCAAGCTGTCATCCAGATGTTTTGTCTACTGCCACCATACAGCTTCATCATTGGGAATGTATGGATGTTTGGCTTAACAGTAACCAAAATGTCTGGATGCTCAATTAAAGATTTCGTTTACCATTTGTGCCCTGATCTTTTGGCATTAGCCAAGGCATGGTCTTTTGTATCTAGAGTGCATATATTCAGATTCTACCTAGCTCCTTACCCGGTCATTCAGTGGCTCTCACAAAACCCAAAAAGAGAGGAAAAATGGAAAACAGCCTGTTAAATTTTAAGCCTAAATTATCCTGGCTGTTTTGAGAGGTCTACATTTCTGCAGTGTTCTTTTCTTCCAGCCAAGGGACTCTTACAGGTAGGGTAAGACCCCAAGTTGGCCTCCATCTATAGCTCAGTTACTTGGTTGACAAGAACCATAGGTCTGAGAAGCGTAAAGGAGTATAAACTCAAGCTAGTCACCCCAGGACCTGAGTGATGAGCTCAGAAAAGCCGAAATTTCTGCCTCTGTTTTGCTTTCCTCTCTTTTCAATAAACCTTCCTCTCAATATGCTTCTCTCTCCTTTCCATTCTCTTTCATCTGTTCTCTCATTTCCTCTAATCCATAAGAAAAAAATGTGTTTACCAAGACTGAGAAAAGTAATGGGATGTGTTTCCAACTCATTAATCTGAAATATGGTCTCACTCTCAGCAGCTCTCATTTGGAGCAGTTCTAAATTGTTTAACTTAAAAACTCCAATTAGATTTGCCCCTTTAAATATTAATCCACTGTTTCCTATTTTATATCACATATATTTGTCCCTTAATAATAATGACAACAACCATAATAATGAGCACGTTTAATTTGAGACTCTCAAAGCATTTTGCAAATATTTGATTCAAGGCTTAAACAAGCCTCCTATGAGGCAAGTAGAAAGAGCATACCACTAAAGCCCAACCTCCATTAACTGGCAGAAGATTCTCCCTAAGCCTCAGATTATTCAAATAATTGAAATATTTGAGCCCACTCTGTTTTCAGAAGAGGTAAACAACTTGAAAATATATTCCATCACTCATTCTTGCATTTATTCCTCTCCTCCTATACTAGGACTGGGAATACAGAGATGGCTGTGTCCTTAAGGGGCTCACAGTACAGTTAAACACAACCATTAGGCCATGTTTTAGGTTCTAAACACACTAAGTCCAACTCCTCTGGTTCCAAAGCTTTTTCTTTTTACACAGAACCTAGTGCAGTGTCTTATACAGAGAGTTGCCCTGTAAATAATCAGACTGTTTCATTAATTAGAACTCTCAACCCTTGTGCACTTGGAATACTCAAGGTGCCATTAGATCTCATTTTGTAAAAACATACTATTAAAGTTCAAACTCAAGGGCCCCCCACCCTCAGCCATATTTGACTGTTTGGCTTGAGATTTAGAGGCTATCAGCAGAGCATGCCAATCCCCAAAGGAGCTTTGTAGATGCCAGGATTTTCCAGAGATTTGGATGGGTCTTGGGACACACTGGGATGCCAAAACTAATGGTTGCAAAAGAGGATGGAAGTGTTATGGACTCAGGAAAGCTTCCAAAGCAAAGAGTATGCAGGGGCTTTCTGAGGTTTTGGAGCCCATCCAAAAGAATTCTTAGAATCCTAGCTCTCTGTTTACCTGCCTGACTTCCACAATTTTGCTAAAGGGAGAGAAAGAAGGAAAACAAGTATGGCAACAACTAAAGCCTGAAGCAAACTCTTTGACCCAATATCAATTCGTAAGCAGTCCCAGAGATACCCCAAATAATAGCATCTTACTTTGCCAAGACACTTATAAGACATTTTGGTATCTCCTGTCTTATTTAATCCTCACAAAAATCTGAAATGTAGGTTGATTATTAATCTCATTCTGTGAATGGGGACACTGAGGTTCCTGGAGATTAAATGACTTGTCAATAAGCAGACACAGCTGGGACTTGAACCCAGCTCTACTAGACTACAAATTTGAAATACTGTTCCTTCCATACCACAAAGCTTCTCCAACATACTGGAGTCAAAAGGCAGATCAAGAGGCCAAAAAGCAACTATTGGGAAATTCGAAGTGTGTGAGATCAATGAGCTTCCTGATAACCACAAATCAGATGAGCCCTCTATGTGGACAAACAAAAGCATGGAGGGAGAATAAAATTATTTGTCTCATGTCAGACATTAAGTCAGTGATGGGGCAAGAATTTGAGGCCAAACTTTCTGACATTCATGGACCTGTCAATACGATCTCGCTATTTCTTATTTCATTTGCTGGTGTGTGTGCATGTGTGTGCTCATATGCACACACAACTGCTTGTGTGTGTAGCTAGGGGTTGCAGTATGAGTGGAAAAGACTGGGGAAAATAAAATAAATACTAATGCTTAGCAGCCTGAGAACCAAATATTGTTTAATGCCAGAATTCAAAGACAAGTTCAGAAAGTGCCCACCTCTAGAATGTAAATTAGTACAGCCATTATGGAAAACAGCATGGAGATTCCTCCAAAGTTAAAGTAGAAATACGATATGATTTAGTAATTCCACTTCTGGGTATTTACTCAAAGTATTGGAATCAGTTTGTCAAAAAGATATCTGCACCGCTATGTTCATTGCAGCACTAGGCACAATAGCCAAGTACTGGAATCAACCTAATTGTTTATCAACAGATGAGTGGATAACAAAATGTTGTATATACACACAATGGAATACTATTCAGCCTTTAAAAAGAAAGAAATTCTATCACTTGTGACAATGTGAATGGAATTGAAGAATATTTGGTAAGTGAAATAAGCCAGGCACAGAAAGGCAAATACTACATGTTCTCACTTATATGTCGAATCTAAAACAATTGAACTCATAGAAACGCAGGGTAGAATGGTGGTTACAGAAGCCAAAAGTGGGTGAAATGAAGAGGTGATGGTGTAAGAACACAAAATCTGTTCAGTTAGGAGGAACATGTGTGATTTTTTCAGCTCTATTGCATAGCATGGTGAATATAGTTAACAATATTGTACATTTCAAAATCACTAAGCCAATACATTTCAAATGTTCTCACCACAAAGTAAAACTTTAAGTATTTGAGGTGATGGATATGTTAACTAGTTAGATTGAGTTATTCCATGTTATATTAGTAAACCATAACATTACTTTGTACCCCATAAAATATACAATTATAAATTGTCAGTTTACAATAAAAAATTATGAAATATTTTTTAAATGTCCGCCTCTGGCAACAACAACATAAACTGGCTGAAGAGCAATCATTTGAAAAAGCCTCCCCAGAATGTAAATCTACCTAAAAGTTTATGGTAAATACAGCTAATAAGCCTAAATATATACAAAAATCTCTGTAAGGAGCTCCACACTTGTCAAGAAAACAGTGACTGAAACAGGATTCATGTATGAGAAGAGGTAATACAGTAACATCACTAGCACATCAGGAGAGAAATATTGTAAAAGCAGAACTGGCCAGTTAGGCATTGATAATTTGCTGCCAATATACTACAAGAGGGGGTTGAAGTGGGCAATGGGCAGTGGACCCAAGAGGCCAAGCTTCTCATCTCTAAATGAGCCCTCCCACAAGCTGCTTCAGCTTCCTCACTTCAGTCTCTTTCTTTGTAACCTCAACCCAGTCAATTAATCAACTGCCCTATGTTCTCCTCTCTCACCCAATTAATCCATGTTTTTTATTTGACTAAGGGAAACAACGTAAAGTGTCATCACCCCAGTGAAGGAGATGGGATGGAGGGAAAAATGTTCTTACTGGATACAAACCTTGAGCCCTAGAGAAAAGGCTGTAATGGAGGAATTTCAAGCATCAGCCAGCTGGAAGAAAAAGACATTTCTATCCATCAACAGTGAAATCACACCTGGCTCGCCATCAAATGTGATCTTTCTGCCCCATGTACTGGAGCAACTCTTGCTTCCAGTAGCACAGAGTAGATGAGAGTGAAAATGTTGAATCAGAATTTCTGAAGTATGCTGGTTACATGGTCTTATTGGGAGTATATTGCATGTCTCCAGTGGACCAGAAACCGCATGTCCCTCAACCACTATGATGCAATGTACAACACCTGCTTCTGGTGGGGAAGTAGAGGGTACAGACATAGAAAGGATCTCTCCTCCTCTCCTGACTTTTCCTTGGGCCTTACTTCCTGTCCTCTTCCTTCTTCTCATTGCCCCTTCCTTTCCTCTGAGGCTCCCTCTTCTCTTCCCTCTTAATATCTCCTCCTCATAAGGACCCTGCCACAACAATAACCCAGGCCCAACGTGGCATCAGGGAAAGGCTCTTCTTCCAACTTGCTGCAAAATGTTTCCAAATTCCCTGGGGTTGGGGAAACCATGACGCTGCAAAGGGCACTTTTGAAGTGAGTCCTGGTTTTATACTTGAAACACCCAAAGGTGTGAGTCTCCTGCATTGAATTTGTGGAACAATAAAAACCACAGGGGCAGGAACACATTTTCATTTTTCAGTTTCAAAAGTGGCAGCTCTTAAGCTTTTAAATGAGGAATCTCTGCCCAGCAATACAGAAGAAAAGGTCTTCTTTGCTGAAAAACGACAGAATGTATAGAGGGAACACAAAAGTTTTGGACAATTAGATTCGTTGCTCAGGTAATATCCCTGTCCCTGTCATTTCACTGTCTAAGTTCTCTGCAAGAGGTGGGAAAGGAGCCTCTGTCTCCTTGTAAGTGAGTCATCCAACCTACTGAAAGACACTAATGACCTATTGGAAGGAAAAAACTAGGACTAGCCATAAGAGGAAGTTATCAACTAGAATTAGACCTTCCAAACTTTAATGTCTAAACTATAGCTACATGTAACTTGCCACCATTTAGAAAAGGAATGCCAAAG